TGTACATTCGTTAAAACAAAGATTTTTATTGAATATATTTAGTTTTTCTGTTTAATATTATTGGGTATGTATGCATTTGCATTAAATTAATATTAAAACACTAAATGTTTAGGTACCCACGAGTCAAGTTATCAAACTTAATAGTCCAATAAATGGCGTCCGAATCCATAGCGCCAATGAATGTATCCCATATCAATTCGTTCAAGAAAACACCTTATGACGCAGCAGCACTTCTGGCAATCACAAACTATCATTAGTGAGACATATCTACTTCTCGTTGGCCAGATGATACTTTTTTATTAGCCAGACGATATCTATCTCTACTTAGCCACCTTGAATTTTCCCACTCAAACTGACCTTATACATGCGCTATGGCGACCGGTGGTCAACCAATCAGTGTCTCCACTTGTCTGTAGCTCTACGTCGGGATAACGTATCCTTTCAACTGTGAAAAATTTGACTGATGAACTTTGTGAGTTAGACAATAATTGGGAGCGAAGTGCAAATGTAAAAAAAAGCATCATCACATCCATTTGACCATATTCGAAATTCTCAATGAAAGAAAACAAAAATGTAAACAATTAAAGATGGATACTTTTTTCCAAAAAATGTAAGAGATCCTAAACTAAAATTTTTTAATAAAAACATTTCACTTTATTTTATGATAAAATATATTTTAAAAATTAAAAATTTATATGTATTTTGTATTATATTGTATTAATAAACAAAATTATTTGCTTATTTTTCACTTATGTAGAACCTAACCCTATACCTCACTGTAAATATGGGTTCATTTTACACTGTTTTGATTTGCGCCGGCTTTTGTAGGAATGGAACTGCAGTGTAAACTGAGGGCTACCTGTATATCTTTTATATATTAAATGATTGATATTTTTAAAAATCAATTTTAAGAATATATTAAAAATTTCACAATTTTAAAAGTTATACTATATAAGAATTTTTCAAAAAATAAAATACATATTTACAAAAAACTTTTAATTATATAAATACGTAATTTTTTAAATTAAAAAGAAAATCCAAGATTGTGCATAATTAGGTAGTTTTAAATACTTAATTTGTCAGGTAAATATCATATATAAATGAATATTTAAGCCTACTGTAGATATTTTGTTTCATTTGGATAGACATGTAGATTACAACTGTAATCCATTCTCAAAGTCTAGCTTATATATTAAAGAATTTTAAAATAAATTTTTTATTCAAATAAAAGTAAATAAGAATGTTTTCTAAATGTTCACTGAAAGATAAACTCAGCAATAATCAACAATAATAAACAGCAAGTTTTCAACAGATTATATGTGATAAGATGATTCAGTTACATGGACATGAGAGATGAGATAAAATTATATAATATTTGGGAAGTTATTCTTAATTATGTGGGATCCTATACTGTGTCAATATAGTCTGTTTATTACATACGAATAATACCAGTTAAATTTTTTTGTTGATGAAAGTCAACAAATTCAATTCATATAACTAGGCATTTTACTCTTTTCTGTGGGAAAGAGTTTAACCATTACAACAGACCAACTTTCTTTCTTATTAAAACTTAATTTAACTTAGCTTAAGTACTTATATAGATTTACATTTCAGGTTTCTTGACAAGCACAATTTACACAGAAAGTGATTTAGGAGCCAATCAATCAAAACATCTCCAAGCAAAAATATCTGAGTTCAAAAAATATTACAGGTCAAACTGACAAGAAAAACAAAACGAATATCCAACTTTTAAATACTTTATGTTTAAAATAAAAGTTTATGTAAAATTAAACATATATGTAATAATCAAAAATTCTTGTAAGCAAACAGTTGTAAAAGGGAACCAATTTTAAGTTATTGTCTTTATTTGCTCAGCACAAATACATTTGTAAGAGTGAGTGGTGTTGTATCTTGGCCTACAAATCCATATCTCATGCTGTTCTGGTTTAAAATCTTGACTTTTTTAAAAATTTTATTTTTATTTTTGTTTTTGTAAGAAAGGCAAGTTACATTTTTTCACTACTAAATTATTTATTTTTGCATTTGTTTCCTCTGTTAGGAGATGATAAGGCAAGTGCTGAGAAGATATCTCTCTCAACCATCACTCTCTTCTCTCAAGACTTGAAGTTGAATATTTTTATCTGAATGCTCAGATACAATTTCTTTGCTTTTTCTTGGAAAGTCTTGGTTATCTAACTGGTAACCAAAACTTTTCTCTTCTTTCTCTCTATTTATTTATAAATGCATCAAATCTACCGATTCCAATTTTGAAAAAAAAATTGGTTATACACTATATTAGTCCCATGAAAATTATATATAAAATTTTTTTGTTTCTTATATGAACATAAACTTCAATCTTGCTATTGATTGATTACATCACTGTTCAGCTAATCAATTACATCAATGTTATTTCTTTGGTATTGTAATGATGCTAATCTCATAATTACATTTAAAATTATTGAATTAACAATATCAGCATAAAAAAAATGTATATTTATAAATTCTGTTTTCAAGGAATATAGAAATATCCAATGACTATTGTACACAAGTATATAAGTATTCTAGTTATTTTTATGATATCAAATTTAACATAAAAATTTTAATTTTGCCTATCTTTCAGTTTTTTTCTATGTCCTACTAACATACAATGGTTTTCCACCAGTTCTTTAGCAATAATATCAAAATATGATATTTTTTCAATTTGTATAATGTATTAATCATAAATTATGTCTTGAAAAACAGAAAAGTTTAATAGAAAATCTTTGTAAAAGTCATAAATTTTAGCCACAATTAAATTAGAGATTATTTGTTAATTATTTGTTATTATTTGTTAGATTATAAAGAAAAACAATGAAATTAAATACCTCTTTCATATGTATCAAAATGACTAACACGTACTACTGTTTGAGTAACATTATCTATGACTGCAACATTAATTCCTCGACCACCTCCGTTAATTTCTTTGGAAATAATACTAAATAAAGATTAAAAATAATTTAATTATAAAATTATAAAAAGTCTATAAGGAATATTCCAAAAATAATGAAACTGAAACATTATTCTATTCAGCTGATTTGAACTTTCTTATCATTGTGCAAATTTAGCATATTTTTATGAACATAACTTTGATATTTTCAATCATTCAATCATCTAGCTATTATACTCCTAACATAGTTTATATATATTCCATACAATTTTAATACACAAAAAAAATCACAAATTTTTGTATGTCTTGAAAAAATGAGGACTTAAATTTTTTTAAAATATATCTGTATTTTTTTATGGTACACATACAGGTACAAAAAATAGAAGTCAAAAGCCCAAGTTAAAACAAACAAAAATTATTAAAATTCATTTACTTTGACTAAAAGAGTTTACATAGTTTAAAAGAGTATTACATAGTTAATCACAGAAATAATGATTTAAAAGACTGTTAGAAATTAAGAAAAGACTAAAAACAATTAGAATATTTAGAATCTGATGGATATACTCACAAGATTCCAAATATTCTAATTGTTTTTGAAAATCTGTCATTGAAATACAGTTATAAATAAAGTTGTTCTACTCAGACCTGTCTAGAGCCCGTTCTCATAGACGTATTTTGATGAAACTTGGTATATATGTTATATGGACCAAGGGGAAAAGGAAAATCCAAAAGATAATTAGTTCGAATTTTTACCACTAGGTGAAAAAATGGCACATGAAGAACAAGAAACACAAAATGGAAACACGAAAAAGATTTTTATTCACAACATTTGTTCAATGTGCAATCCATTTGCATCAATTACACGTTCAAAACATCTTACAATGCTGTAAGGCGTTTTGAACAAATATTGTGAATAAAAACCTTTTGCGTGTTTCCATTTTCTGTTTCTTGTTCTTCATGCACCATTTTTCACTTAGTGGTAAAAATTTGAATTAAATATATTTTTTTGTATTTTTCTTTTCCCCATGGTCCATATAACATATATACCAAGTTTCATCAAAATATGTCCATGAGAACAGGCTCTAGACAGGTCTGAGTAGCACAACTTTAATTATAACCACCCTATATCTATAAAACTTAATTTTTTTAAATAACTGTTTTATTTGTCATAAAAAAAATCTCGTTATTTTTGAAATATTCTTTACAATAATTTAAATAATATATAATAAAATTTTAAAATATATTATATTGTAATTTAATATAATTATGTAACTAAAGAGAATGGAATATCATGCTTTGTACATCAATCAATCCATACAAGTGGATTAATGGATGTACAAAGTCAAATGGACTGACGGATAACATAATGATACTTTCCATTTTATCATTTTATTTTTGCTAACAGATACACAAAATAAATCAACATAAAGCCTAGATGCTCACAACAGTTGTATGCTTCTTGCTGTTTGAAATGCACAGTACCTCTAAAACTGCTTTCTGCAAAACAAACACTGAATATTGTTTTTGCTTTTCACCTTTTTATTGTAAAAGCAAAAGTCCTCTTCAGATTTGTTTTAGTCAGCAAAAGCAAATACAGTAGAGCATTGATTATCCGAATCAATTGGGGACTGGGGTTGTTCAGAAAATCGATTTTTCAGATAAACAATTATGTACAAAAAAATATATTAACCTATCCCATGTTGAAATTCATTCAAATCCTGGCATGTCCTTAAGTACCCTCTCATGTACACCTTGTGCCAGTGCTGCCAGCTAAAACATGCATACCAACAAAAATAATATTGGAGTAGTCCAAGACAAAGCCAAAGATTGCATCGCCACAGCACTAGTGGAAATTTAAATTTGCCGACTGGAAAGCTTTCAGTTAATTGATGTTTTGGTTGATTGATATTCAGATAATCGATGCTCTACTGTACTATGTTTTTTGTAAAAATGAAGTAACAAAGAAAACTTTTGTAAAGTGAGGAATACCTATATTAGATTTCTTATTTGAATAAATTTTTTACATTTTATATATCTTAACAAAAAATAATTAAATAGAAAAACAATGTTTAAAATGCTAAATAAAAAATCCAACAAAAGCATTAGCCTGATTGAAGATATTTACTTAGAGAATAACTTTTAAATCTATTTCTATCTTTTTAAACATTGCATTTCTTGTACAGAAAAAATTAGATAACCTACCAGCAGAAGTATTTATGTAATTTGGTTTATTTGAATTTTATTCATTTTAAATTTATCAGTATTCTACTAAGCTTAGTCATGCTAAATAATCATACCAAAGGAATAAAGGAAGTTTTTAAATTACTAATTTTTTATACTTACTTAAAAATAAAAATTCAAAAAATAAAATCTTTTACTGAACCAACTGTAATGAAATTGTTCCTATTTTAATATATAAAATATTGATAAATAGAAACTTACTATTTTCCATCAACACATAATTTAGGTTGATCATTATGATCTTTTCCAGTATAAATATGAACAGAAAATTCATTATCTTTGCATGGAAGTTTAAGTCCACAATTTGGTACAATATCACCAATTTTAATTGGAACTGGAACAGAGATGATACTAAAAAAAATTTTAAATAAATAGTCAGTTTCATACAATAAATTCCATTTTTCTATTTTTATATTAATATGTAATGATAACATAATAAGTTGTCATAGAAAAACATCATAAAACAAAATGTAAAATAAGCAATTTATTTTTATCAACTATTATGTTTATGCATAAAAGAATATAAAATAAATAATNTTTGTTTGTACAAAAGAAAAAAAATAATTTTTAACGATACAATAGTCTTTGTTAGGCTTAACATCGATGAAAATTCAACACAAAGCGACATGCAACGGAGAAAAATTTCAACATGGGATAAATTAATTATTTTTTCGTACATATCGGCTATCCGAAATATCGATTTTCCGAACAACCCCAGTTCCCAATTGATTCGGATAATCGACGCTCTACTGTATATATTTTTTGAAAACAGTATTATCATTTAATTGGAAGAAACAGCTGTATGTAATCATATGTAAAGACTTCCTTGTTTTAAAAATAATTTAAACTGTGAAGCCACAAAAAAAATTAACATTTTATCAGCTAGCCCAGGCATGGCCAACATACGGCCCATGGGCCAAATCTGGCCTGTCAAATGAACTCATGTGGCCCGCGATCAATTTTTCAATATTAGCTCTCAAGTCCGAATAGCTCGATAAAAAATTCTGACGCCTAAAAAAAAAAAGGTAAACAACTCACTGTGCATTTAGAGTTAACCCTTCATTACAAATCTCGGGAAAAAAAAGCGTAAGTACAGTGTAGAATGTTGATAAAGCATGATAATGTGAAAAATGTATCTGTAATCTCTATGTACAATTTAGTCTCTACGGGGTGGCACTGCAATGAGATCTCACACCACCTCAAAATCTTCCTAGGGCAGCCTCTGGTTCGGCCCATAGAAAAAGTTTTCTTTCCAATTTGGTTCGGGGGCAAAAACTGTTGGCCACCCAAGCTAACCTCATGGCTATCATATAGATGGCAGATGATTGGTTATTATTAGCCAATCATTTCTGGCAATGAAATGATTGTCTCTTAATATATTACATATATACTATATTGCCAAGACTAGTTTGTTTAACAAATGAAAACTGTATATAAAAAATTCTAATTCTAATTTTAAATTTACAAATTGAATACAGGTAGTCCTCGGTTTACGCCGGCTCAATTTACACCGATTCACAATAACGCCGCTATGCAATTTATCGTTTCGCGGTGTAATTTCTCGATTTTCCCTATGCCAGATTGATTTTCATTTCAGTGTTGACGTATTTACCAAGCCGCAACATTGTACATTTGTTAAAACAAAGATTTTTATCGAATATATATTTAGTTTTTCTGTTTAATATTATTGGGTATGTATGCATTTGCATTAAATTAATATTAAAACACTAAATGTTTAGGTACCCACGAGTCAAGTTATCAAACTTAATAGTCCAATAAATGGCGTCCGAATCCATAGCGCCAATGAATGTATCCCATATCAATTCGTTCAAGAAAACACCTTATGACGCAGCAGCACTTCTGGCAATCACAAACTATCATTAGTAAGACAAATCTACTTCTCGTTGGCCAGATGATACTTTTTTATTAGCCAGACGATATCTATCTCTACTTAGCCACCTTGAATTTTCCCACTCAAACTGACCTTATACATGCGCTATGGCGACCGGTGGTCAACCAATCAGTGTCTCCACTTGTCTGTAGCTCTACGTCGGGATAACGTATCCTTTCAACTGTGAAAAATTTGACTGATGAACTTTGTGAGTTAGACAATAATTGGGAGCGAAGTGCAAATGTAAAAAAAAGCATCATCACATCCATTTGACCATATTCGAAATTCTCAATGAAAGAAAACAAAAATGTAAACAATTAAAGATGGATACTTTTTTCCAAAAAATGTAAGAGATCCTAAACTAAAATTTTTTAATAAAAACATTTCACTTTATTTTATGATAAAATATATTTTAAAAATTAAAAATTTATATGTATTTTGTATTATATTGTATTAATAAACAAAATTATTTGCTTATTTTTCACTTATGTAGAACCTAACCCTATACCTCACTGTAAATATGGGTTCATTTTACACTGTTTTGATTTGCGCCGGCTTTTGTAGGAATGGAACTGCAGTGTAAACTGAGGGCTACCTGTATATCTTTTATATATTAAATGATTGATATTTTTAAAAATCAATTTTAAGAATATATTAAAAATTTCACAATTTTAAAAGTTATACTATATAAGAATTTTTCAAAAAATAAAATACATATTTACAAAAAACTTTTAATTATATAAATACGTAATTTTTTAAATTAAAAAGAAAATCCAAGATTGTGCATAATTAGGTAGTTTTAAATACTTAATTTGTCAGGTAAATATCATATATAAATGAATATTTAAGCCTACTGTAGATATTTTGTTTCATTTGGATAGACATGTAGATTACAACTGTAATCCATTCTCAAAGTCTAGCTTATATATTAAAGAATTTTAAAATAAATTTTTTATTCAAATAAAAGTAAATAAGAATGTTTTCTAAATGTTCACTGAAAGATAAACTCAGCAATAATCAACAATAATAAACAGCAAGTTTCCAACAGATTATATGTGATAAGATGATTCAGTTACATGGACATGAGAGATGAGATAAAATTATATAATATTTGGGAAGTTATTCTTAATTATGTGGGATCCTATACTGTGTCAATATAGTCTGTTTATTACATACGAATAATACCAGTTAAATTTTTTTGTTGATGAAAGTCAACAAATTCAATTCATAAAACTAGGCATTTTACTCTTTTCTGTGGGAAAGAGTTTAACCATTACAACAGACCAACTTTCTTTCTTATTAAAACTTAATTTAACTTAGCTTAAGTACTTATATAGATTTACATTTCAGGTTTCTTGACAAGCACAATTTACACAGAAAGTGATTTAGGAGCCAATCAATCAAAACATCTCCAAGCAAAAATATCTGAGTTCAAAAAATATTACAGGTCAAACTGACAAGAAAAACAAAACGAATATCCAACTTTTAAATACTTTATGTTTAAAATAAAAGTTTATGTAAAATTAAACATATATGTAATAATCAAAAATTCTTGTAAGCAAACAGTTGTAAAAGGGAACCAATTTTAAGTTATTGTCTTTATTTGCTCAGCACAAATACATTTGTAAGAGTGAGTGGTGTTGTATCTTGGCCTACAAATCCATATCTCATGCTGTTCTGGTTTAAAATCTTGACTTTTTTAAAAATTTTATTTTTATTTTTGTTTTTGTAAGAAAGGCAAGTTACATTTTTTCACTACTAAATTATTTATTTTTGCATTTGTTTCCTCTGTTAGGAGATGATAAGGCAAGTGCTGAGAAGATATCTCTCTCAACCATCACTCTCTTCTCTCAAGACTTGAAGTTGAATATTTTTATCTGAATGCTCAGATACAATTTCTTTGCTTTTTCTTGGAAAGTCTTGGTTATCTAACTGATAACCAAAACTTTTCTCTTCTTTCTCTCTATTTATTTATAAATGCATCAAATCTACCGATTCCAATTTTGAAAAAAAAATTGGTTATACACTATATTAGTCCCATGAAAATTATATATAAAATTTTTTTGTTTCTTATATGAACATAAACTTCAATCTTGCTATTGATTGATTACATCACTGTTCAGCTAATCAATTACATCAATGTTATTTCTTTGGTATTGTAATGATGCTAATCTCATAATTACATTTAAAATTATTGAATTAACAATATCAGCATAAAAAAAATGTATATTTATAAATTCTGTTTTCAAGGAATATAGAAATATCCAATGACTATTGTACACAAGTATATAAGTATTCTAGTTATTTTTATGATATCAAATTTAACATAAAAATTTTAATTTTGCCTATCTTTCAGTTTTTTTCTATGTCCTACTAACATACAATGGTTTTCCACCAGTTCTTTAGCAATAATATCAAAATATGATATTTTTTCAATTTGTATAATGTATTAATCATAAATTATGTCTTGAAAAACAGAAAAGTTTAATAGAAAATCTTTGTAAAAGTCATAAATTTTAGCCACAATTAAATTAGAGATTATTTGTTAATTATTTGTTATTATTTGTTAGATTATAAAGAAAAACAATGAAATTAAATACCTCTTTCATATGTATCAAAATGACTAACACGTACTACTGTTTGAGTAACATTATCTATGACTGCAACATTAATTCCTCGACCACCTCCGTTAATTTCTTTGGAAATAATACTAAATAAAGATTAAAAATAATTTAATTATAAAATTATAAAAAGTCTATAAGGAATATTCCAAAAATAATGAAACTGAAACATTATTCTATTCAGCTGATTTGAACTTTCTTATCATTGTGCAAATTTAGCATATTTTTATGAACATAACTTTGATATTTTCAATCATTCAATCATCTAGCTATTATACTCCTAACATAGTTTATATATATTCCATACAATTTTAATACACAAAAAAAATCACAAATTTTTGTATGTCTTGAAAAAATGAGGACTTAAATTTTTTTAAAATATATCTGTATTTTTTTATGGTACACATACAGGTACAAAAAATAGAAGTCAAAAGCCCAAGTTAAAACAAACAAAAATTATTAAAATTCATTTACTTTGACTAAAAGAGTTTACATAGTTTAAAAGAGTATTACATAGTTAATCACAGAAATAATGATTTAAAAGACTGTTAGAAATTAAGAAAAGACTAAAAACAATTAGAATATTTTGAATCTGATGGATATACTCACAAGATTCCAAATATTCTAATTGTTTTTGAAAATCTGTCATTGAAATACAGTTATAAATAAAGTTGTTCTACTCAGACCTGTCTAGAGCCCGTTCTCATAGACGTATTTTGATGAAACTTGGTATATATGTTATATGGACCAAGGGGAAAAGGAAAATCCAAAAGATAATTAGTTCGAATTTTTACCACTAGGTGAAAAAATGGCACATGAAGAACAAGAAACACAAAATGGAAACACGAAAAAGATTTTTATTCACAACATTTGTTTAATGTGCAATCCATTTGCATCAATTACACGTTCAAAACATCTTACAATGCTGTAAGGCGTTTTGAACAAATATTGTGAATAAAAACCTTTTGCGTGTTTCCATTTTCTGTTTCTTGTTCTTCATGCACCATTTTTCACTTAGTGGTAAAAATTTGAATTAAATATATTTTTTTGTATTTTTCTTTTCCCCATGGTCCATATAACATATATACCAAGTTTCATCAAAATATGTCCATGAGAACAGGCTCTAGACAGGTCTGAGTAGCACAACTTTAATTATAACCACCCTATATCTATAAAACTTAATTTTTTTAAATAACTGTTTTATTTGTCATAAAAAAAATCTCGTTATTTTTGAAATATTCTTTACAATAATTTAAATAATATATAATAAAATTTTAAAATATATTATATTGTAATTTAATATAATTATGTAACTAAAGAGAATGGAATATCATGCTTTGTACATCCATCAATCCATACAAGTGGATTAATGGATGTACAAAGTCAAATGGACTGACGGATAACATAATGATACTTTCCATTTTATCATTTTATTTTTGCTAACAGATACACAAAATAAATCAACATAAAGCCTAGATGCTCACAACAGTTGTATGCTTCTTGCTGTTTGAAATGCACAGTACCTCTAAAACTGCTTTCTGCAAAACAAACACTGAATATTGTTTTTGCTTTTCACCTTTTTATTGTAAAAGCAAAAGTCCTCTTCAGATTTGTTTTAGTCAGCAAAAGCAAATACAGTAGAGCATTGATTATCCGAATCAATTGGGGACTGGGGTTGTTCAGAAAATCGATTTTTCAGATAAACAATTATGTACGAAAAAATATATTAACCTATCCCATGTTGAAATTCATTCAAATCCTGGCATGTCCTTAAGTACCCTCTCATGTACACCTTGTGCCAGTGCTGCCAGCTAAAACATGCATACCAACAAAAATAATATTGGAGTAGTCCAAGACAAAGCCAAAGATTGCATCGCCACAGCACTAGTGGAAATTTAAATTTGCCGACTGGAAAGCTTTCAGTTAATTGATGTTTTGGTTGATTGATATTCAGATAATCGATGCTCTACTGTACTATGTTTTTTGTAAAAATGAAGTAACAAAGAAAACTTTTGTAAAGTGAGGAATACCTATATTAGATTTCTTATTTGAATAAATTTTTTACATTTTATATATCTTAACAAAAAATAATTAAATAGAAAAACAATGTTTAAAATGCTAAATAAAAAATCCAACAAAAGCATTAGCCTGATTGAAGATATTTACTTAGAGAATAACTTTTAAATCTATTTCTATCTTTTTAAACATTGCATTTCTTGTACAGAAAAAATTAGATAACCTACCAGCAGAAGTATTTATGTAATTTGGTTTATTTGAATTTTATTCATTTTAAATTTATCAGTATTCTACTAAGCTTAGTCATGCTAAATAATCATACCAAAGGAATAAAGGAAGTTTTTAAATTACTAATTTTTTATACTTACTTAAAAATAAAAATTCAAAAAATAAAATCTTTTACTGAACCAACTGTAATGAAATTGTTCCTATTTTAATATATAAAATATTGATAAATAGAAACTTACTATTTTCCATCAACACATAATTTAGGTTGATCATTATGATCTTTTCCAGTATAAATATGAACAGAAAATTCATTATCTTTGCATGGAAGTTTAAGTCCACAATTTGGTACAATATCACCAATTTTAATTGGAACTGGAACAGAGATGATACTAAAAAAAATTTTAAATAAATAGTCAGTTTCATACAATAAATTCCATTTTTCTATTTTTATATTAATATGTAATGATAACATAATAAGTTGTCATAGAAAAACATCATAAAACAAAATGTAAAATAAGCAATTTATTTTTATCAACTATTATGTTTATGCATAAAAGAATATAAAATAAATAATCATTAGAAAATGATAGTTTCATAATTAAAGCACTGAATGTGGAGTTAAATACTATTTAGATTTTATATGATTATTCTACAACATTTTGTTTTATATAAAAACATTACTTAAAGGAATGGGCAACCTTTTTTTTATGTAAGGGCAACATTTAAAACTTTTGAACTGACACACGCCACACACAAGAGAAAAAAGAAAAAAATGCAGATAAATCAAATTGTTTATTCATATATGATTATAAATTAACATAAGTATATTTAATTTGACTTTTGTCATTGATGTAAATGTAACATATCTAAAATATTTTTTTGAATATTAGTCATTGCTAATTTTAAATTAGTTTTGATGTTAGTCTGTTATTTCTTGTTTTACTTTTTACTAAATTTTTATTAAGTTATAGAAAATAATAATAGAATTTTTGCTGCATGCTGTGAGGGACTAGCCAGGGATACAGAGTAGTTAAGACTCTTGTACCACTTATTTGGCAGCTATCCATTTGAATAGCCCTCGGGTTGTCTAAAAGAATGGCTTTTCTAGTCAAAGAAATCGAATGTGGAGGGACTTACAGTTTGATCTCAAAACTTTAAGGAGGGCTTTTTATAATATGTTAGAAAGATCTAGATGGTAAGTTCTAGATCACGTCAGGATCCTTGACACCAGTTAAACTGTTATTTTACACGCAGATTAACACACGTTTATGAATCAATACGGAGAGGATGAGATCTTTTGATTCAGACATAATGAGAGACATTTCTTTAACATAAAATAATCGAATATTTAATAGAACAAAGGAAAAATATACAAAGTGGACCTTCAATATAGGATTATGATATTGTGGAGAGAGAGAGATCACATTTCTAGTTAAAACATACTACCTCACTATATATATTCTTCTGTACTTAGATCGATGTGAATGTTCATTTTTAATTCTTGGGGAGCACTTCAATAAACATTTCCATTAACTTGGGAACTTAGAAATAAACTTTGTATGAACTTTGGGAGTTGATTATGGGCGATGGCTGTGGGGAGATAATATGGAATATGTCCTTCTCTTGTGGAATTTCGTGGCGTACTCCCCGAATAATACTAAAGAATCCCCTTTTTCGAAGTCTTTCTCCAATGGGAATATTGTATTCTTCCCACGTGTTTAGGAAGAGTGAGGGTTTACAGAGGGGTATATGGACTGTGCGTGACGCAAAATTTGTGAAGATAAGGGAAAACAAAAAGGATCTAGAACTTCTGTTGAAAAGGAAGTGAATTTTACCAGTTTCCTTCATTTTTAACTTAAAAATTTTCCATTTAAAATCAGAAATATTATTTCAAAAATTATGGATCTGACATAAATCTTTAATTAATTAGGGGGGTGTTCAAGATCTCACAATACTTCCTTAAGTTGGGAAATTGATATATTTATTAATATCAATATTTTGTGTCAACGGGTCAATGCCCACCTGACTTATTTAATCTCATTTATAAAATAATCAATGAAGAAAAAATTATTACATTATTAAATATAATAATACAGTAATACCCCGAACTTACGCGATAGGTGGGACCGAGCAATAACCACAGAAGTCAAATTCGTGTAAGTCGGGGTATAATTTCACAATTTGTATAAACTCCAAGTCAGATGTATGTAAGCTAATAAATGTTCTCGTTAATCTTATCTCGTCTTTTGATTCGTTCACGGTTACAAGAAATCACCACATAGAGTCTCTCAAGTCTCCGTAGATATAACAAACACAGAAATAAATAACACAAAATAAATTGTAGCTATGTGTCGATTCCGCGCTACACGTCCGAACATGTAAGCTGAACAATAGTGTGGGGGGAGTGAGTAATCAAAAGTTGCATGGCGTTCAAACAACAGATGAATCGACAGGATTTGAAAATCGCGTAACTCCAGGTTTGCGTAAGTCGGGGTAGCGTAAGTCAAGGTACTACTGTATTCTCTTAAAACTTAATACACAAATTATATCTGCTTTATTAAAGCAAAAATTTGGTTATACTGCTAAATGAATCTAACTAGTGGAATTTTTGTCAATCTTTTGATCCATATTTGCATAATCTCTGTACAGCAATTAGGAATATATATATATATATATATTCTGTATCATCATGATACTACTAAATTTGTATAAATATCCTCTTTTGTAAAGATGATAATAATATATTATTCTTTTGTCCACTTTGGTTGTTCTTGTGAACTAGGACTTGTTATACCAAGGAAAGAAAAACATACAATTTCCAATTAAAATATATTTAATGTAATGTAATGTAATGTAACAAAATTACATTATATTAAATATATTTTAATTAGAAATTGTGTTTTTCTCTTCCCTCGGTATAACAAATCCTAGTTCACAAGAATATCCAGAGTGGACATAAGTATAATGTAAGTAATTAACTGTCCAGTGTTGTTCCTGAGTATTTTTGTGTTGACCTCATTTGACCTAACCCATTGACCTGAATATACTCATTTCTGCAGTGGAATGTTTTTGATACTAGATGTTGCTATGCATCATAATTTTTATATTAAAACAAACTTTCAAAACATAATTTTTTTGTTTTTATATTTTTCAATATATTTATTTTGTTTGTGCAAAATAAAAAAATAATTTTTAACAAAACAGTAGCCAAAATTATTATTTTAAAAAAATTTGTTTTTGTTAGGCTTAACATCGACAAAAATTCAATACACAACGGAGAAAAATTTCAACATGGGATATGTTAAGGACAAGAAGCACGTATCAACATGATAATATTATTCTCCCTGTGATGTGACTGTGTTGATCATTCACCAATCTCCTACTGCGTTATTTATGTCTTTATTGACAAGACTGTCTTGTTTATAAAATCGTACTGCCCGATTTTCTTACCAGCATAGAGGTATGAAGGAGTACATGTCGAGAGTTGATATTTGGCACAGAGTATTAGGTGCCCAAATCATTTGCGCATAAAAAATCCAGACTCGTAGGTAGTCAGGGAACCGAGAATCAAGTCAAAATAAAATACAAAAAAGCAATCCTCTTCTACAAACAGGCAAAATAGCCACCTCACCCCACCGAAGTCAGGTAGGGGAGAGTACCACCCAGTCATTCTAAGAACTCTGACCTTAGAACTGAACACGTAATTTCTTCTATGTTAAATAAAATTTGTAATCTAATTTTGTAAATTTGGGAGTTCTTCAAATATGATGTTAAAACGGTTTTATGTCATTACAAGTGGGTTTTTTTAACATTATCTAGTATAGTAAAATTGTAGGACCGATAAAAATTTGATGTTATATTAGGGTTGTCATTACATTTGATGACATTATAATCAGGTTAAATTGTATATTGTGTGCGCAAAATAAAAAAATAATTTCAGATGATACAATAGCCACGATTATTTTTTTCAAAAACGGAACTTTTCATCAAAAACAGGAATCCCCAAAAATGGTTTGAAAGTTTGAATTTGATTTTAACAGTGAATTATATTCATTAGGAAGATGAGGCTGTCCCAAAACAGTATGAAAACATTCCTTCTTGATAAATTTAATCAGTTAGCTATCTGAAATAAGCATTTAATTTAGATAATAACGTGGAGCCACAAACCCCACATTTGACAATTATATTCTAATATAAAATTTTGACTAAATTCTTCTTTTATAAATTTACAATAATCTTTGAAAATGTTTTAAAATGAAAAATTTTCAAAAATTACATCATAAAAAAATTAAAATTAATTAACTTTACTTTTTAAAATCAAAAAATTGCAATTAAACTGTATTAATTTATTTCATTTACATTTACTTTTGAAATTCTGATGGTTTTTTCATCAACTGTATAACACTGTCATTTGTAGCAATAATGTCTTGTGAAGGAATGCCTGTAAAAAGAATTTAATAGTTCATATTATTGCTAATTATAAAAATAATCCAACTGTATTTGAATATAGAATACAAAAATTATTTATCCTTTTTACTTCTTTATACAAGATATTAATTGTAAAAGAGAACAAAAATTAATTAAATATAAGCAAAAGAAGTAAAAGAGAACAAATCTATCCTCAATTATTAACTATGATAAAGAGTACAAGTACAGTGGTGCCTCGTATAACGTACTTAATCCATTCCAGGTGCACATCAGTTAAGTGAAAAGTTCGTTATACGAAACGCATTTTTCCATAGAAATACATGTTAAAACATATAATTCGTTCCGCAGCATAAAATAACCGTACTGCACCATAAAAAATGAAAATGGAGCAGTCACCAATTATGCCAGGTAGTCAGATGTTGTGAAGAGGAGACGGAGGAACATTTTCTTTACACATTCATGCAGATACAGACTTTTTACACATTGCAGCGGGTCTCTTTTTATTGTTTTTTTAATCAGAGTCAGATTCAGGAGAGGCTACCGGGGTTTACAGCATCATCTTCTCTTGTTCCATCCTTTGTTTTTTGGCAGCTTGCTTCTTGAAAAACATGTCCAAGGTGGTCTGTTTCTCTCTCTTCTTCAACACCTGTTGGAAATGACGGGCAAGAGTATCATTGTAAGGTGTGTTTCAAATTTATACGGACACGAAAAAATTAAAGTGAAACACAAATTTGCTGCATTAAGTGACAAATGTTTTATTAAAAATAATATGGATTTACATGTTTCTACACTGCAAAATAAGAATTTTAATCAAACATTAATATTTTGTCACTGAAAATAATATTTTTGAAAATCTTATACAAAAAAACTGTTACATATTTATCCGGACAGGCACTCATTTTATGACTTAAACAGAATATTGTTTAGTTTCAAGCATTGAAATATGCAAATTAGCTTACATATCTAATTGTAATACAAATTCTTTATGTTGTTCAACGTTCTAAAATGGGTAGAACAAAGAATTTATCTGATTATGAAAAAGGGCAGATTGATGCCTATAAATCACAAGGCAAGTCAATAAGAGAAATTGCAGCATATATAAATCGTCCAAAATCAACTGTTGGTGATTATTTATCAAAAAGACGTGGCTAGAATGTACTAAAATTCAAGACAGGTCCAAAACCGAAGCTTATACCTTGAGATTGAAGACAAATCATCAAGGTTTGCTGCACAAAACAAACATCAGTAAGAAAAATAAAACAAGAATTAGACTTACTTTGTAGCAGCACAACAGTGTGGAGAGTTTTAAATAAATCTCCAGTGTTAAAATTCAGAAAAAAAGCTATAATGCCACCACTTTCATTAAAGCACAAAAGTGATAGACTTGATTGGCACAAAAACACATGCCATGGCCCAAAGAATGGATTGAAGTTTTGTTCAGTGATGAAAAACAATTCATCTTAGATAGTCCAGACGGTTGAAAGTATTATTGGCACGATTTAAGAACCGAAAAACAAATATTTTCAAAACGCCAAATGGGTGGGGGATCAATAATAGTGTGGGGTGCGTTTGGATTCAATGGAACCACAGGTTTAGCATTTATAACTCAAAGAATGAATTCAGAGAAGTATCAAGGCATGCTTGAAAATCATTTATTGGAATCTTGATCAAATATTTGTGGACCAAATTGGATCTTTCAACAAGACGATGCCCCTGTGCATGCCTCTAAATCAACAAAAATGTGGTTTAAACGTAAAAATATTAATCTGATGACATGGCCTGCTAGAAGCCCTGACCTGAATCTGATGGAAAATCTTTTGTTGATGATGGTTCGTACAGTTTATCCAATGGAAAACAGTTTTCCACAATTCATCATTTGAAGGCAGCAATTTCAGATGCTTGGGATAAACTTAAGATTGAATTCCTTCAGAATCTAATTGAAACAATGCCTAATTGAGTATTTAATGTAATTAAGTTAAATGGTGGTTACATTGGCCATTAAATTGTAAGAAAACTTTGCAATTTGAAACCTGTCCGGATAAATATNCAAAAATGCTACATGCTGTGTGTCTACTCCTTGCTCTTCAAGTTGCTGAAGAAGCCAAGAGCAGCTTTTAAAGATGTGAATTCATTAATACCAAACATGAAAAATGTATTCACTAAATGCCCAGCTCAAATTAAATTTTTAAAGAATGTGAACCTGATCTCAGATTTCCTCACTGGGGAATATGGAGAGAAGCTGCCATTTATTATGTGAACCATTTTCAGTTGTGGAAATGGACTTTCAATAACATCAATTCTGAGGAAGCAGTGGATGCTTCCATTGCAAAAGACAAATTTTCAAATTCATTAATCAAAGAACATCTTGAACTGTCAGCTGCTGTTATAATTCTACCTGCTTCAATTACCAGTTTGGAAACAGCAAATCTTCCATTGACTGAAGCAATTAAAATTGTGGACAAAGTACATAATACATTACTGTAAAACAAAAGTGGTCTATATGAAAGGTTATACAAACAGCTGCAGGGGATTCTGGACAAAAACCCGGAATTTTTAGAGATAAATTGTATCCAACATTCTACAAGGAAATAAAGACTATTTTTGATCCAAAAACAGACTAGAATCAAAGAATTAGTGTGTTTTAAATATGCATCAATTACATCATCTTTCAGGGAAGGAAGATTCTCTGGATGTAAAATTGTATTTTCTGATAAAAGACAAAGGTTCAATTTCGAAAATTTGAAAATTTATTTAGTGCGTTACTACAACTATTAACTGTTCAGGAATTATATTTAGTATCAATAAATGATTTAAGTTGCCATTTTCTGCGTCTGTGGTATCCTTAAATCACAATTTACAAATGCATATTTTAGGCATTTAAAGTAATGGCAAGACGATTAATTGAATTGAAAATCTGAACAATTGGACATTTTCCTGGTATTTGAATCAAGAAAATATCAGTAAAATTTCTGATTCTTAAAATGATACTTCCACATTTTATATGATTATTAGTTATTTGTTTCAGTTGAATATTAAAAATTTTTTAAATTATGATATTAACAATTAAATATTAGTTTATTGGAAACTTTCACATTGATAAAGCAGAAAGTACATAATGGCCCATATAGGCAGTGATGTTTGTCACAGAGGACTTTTCTTTTGCACAGTCAGAGTGACAAGACATTGCACTCAGCTGGTTCTAACTGTCCCCATTTTAGGGAAGATAGGGTGACTTTAAGGTTGCCATCCAGCCAGCAATCTGTATTCTGTATATCTATATAAATATTAAAAGCAAAATGTTTCATCACCGCAGCACACAAATAATGTAAATTTTAAAATTAATTTGATTTAACTTTTAGTTTTAGTTTTGGTGTAAAGGCGAGAGCTTTAATTATTATTTTTAATAATTTTTATTTATTTAATTTTGCCTAGATTTATTGAATCCTCCATTACAATTTTTTCAATTAATTACAATTATTTTTTTCATGTGACATAACTATAGAAATTGCTTTAATGTTGTTTCAAACAAAAGATTAATTTAAATTTGATTATGTTTTAGTAATTTCATTAATTTTTTATTTCAAATTTGCTTGCTTTTTAAAATTAATTATAAGTGAGTTAACTTTGCTTGAACTTTTGAGCTATCGAGTTTCAAATTGAGGCTGGCGAAATGTTCTAAAATGTAAACAATTATATTTTAATTGAAAAATATTATATAATTATTAATAAAATATATAATTATTTTTAATATTTATTATGTTTACTTATAATGATAAAACTACTTTCTCATTATAATTATGAAAGTTTTTGTTGTGATTCACAGATGATGTGGTATACATTAAATTTTCAAATGCAATTTGTGCATTTCTGAGTAAAAATACATGCTTGAGCTAAGTATACTGCCATTTTGAGTTTTAAAAATTGATTTAAATATTCATGGCTCAAGTGAATGAATTCAAAAATCGGCTAACTCGTGACGACTCATACTATATCATTCGGCTTGTTGCATCATTTGCCAAACTTCATTTAAATACGATGGGGTTAAATCATTTATGAGAGATACCCCTTTGTGAAAAAAGTGTATCTTCTCATTTACTATTCCTTCCCCCTGTCATCACGTCGGCCAACAAAGCAGTTTCCAAAGATAACATGAAAGGATAGTTTGTTGTGTAAAAGGGAATTAGCTATGATTTTTTTGGGTGTAGTGTTGCAATATTAACTTTATCCAAAATAAGATTACAAATTTATTTTATAGTATATAATAAAATATAATACATAATAGTATCCATATATAAGTAGATTTTCATAATTATTACAAAAAGCTGATTCTGGATTTCCCAATCATTTTCCATTCTTAAGGTTGATGTTTATTAATTAATAAATGTACCATGCTTGTAATGTAAATCATTAATTTTTCTAAACTAAAATAAAATTTAGAAAGTATTCAAAAGAATCAGAATCATGAGAAATTTTGGTATCGTCCCATTACTAATTTTATTTAAAAACTTTTTATATTTTTAACTATTATAAAATGGCAAAAAGCTTAATTTTGAGGATAGGGCTGGGTTTTAAAAAAGTTGTAAATACTGATAAGTAAAATTGTCATTTAGTCTGACTCTACTAGAGATACTGTACATAGGACCTTCTATCTCCCCATCCCTTCGAACTTTAATCACCAAAATTTAATAACATCAATTTCCCTTATAAACAAACCTCTCTGCAAAATTTCGGAAATTCTTAACAAAAAACACAGGAGTTATTAAGCTTTAAAGAGGGCAAACAAAATTGTGCTCTCCACAAACACTAACATCCATACATACAGAAAAAACTCCCAAATTTTTTGCATTTCTTGATGTTTCAAGGTGTTCTGAGCCCAAGAATGTTAAAATATTGGTGGGGGCATTTTCTGATTGATTGCCATACTTTCCCTCTGTTATATATAACAGTCAGGAAAGTAACAAAATCTGTAGAAATAATTTATAAAGTTAAAAAATGTAACTTAGACAGCAACAA